TTATTGTTGATAACTTCCGAATTATTTTAACTTCACTACCCTCACCATCTTTCATTATTATTGTCGATATTATCGTTTCTGTTGTTGTCGTTTTTGATTCGCCTGTACTCTCCCGGGCCGGGGATTGTCCAGATGGTGATCCAGCTTTGGCTCCCTGTCATGGGAGTGTCGTGTGACCTGTCTCCCATGGGAGGAGGTACAAGTACCTTCTCATCTTCTGGGACCAACTGTCCCCAGGCCTAGCCCCATTCCAGCCCCCACGAGGCTCGTAGGGAGAAGCTAGGCCTCTGATCTGCCCTCTGCCCCGCCCCAGGAGGGTTCGTGGGAATGGCAGTCTTGAGAGCTGCAGGTGGTAGCAAGCTCTGGCTCTGGCACCTTCCCCGCCCTAAGAGGGCTCGTGGGAGTGGTGTGTCTTATCATTTCATAGTAAAAATAATTACATTATACATATTTAATTATGTTATTATTACAATTATTTCTTGCAATAGTATTATTATTGTTTTGTCTTAATATATATATATATATATATATATATATATATATATATATGGAATTCGCAAGAGCAGGCTAAATATACACAAACACTGATCTCTGGCTGAAGGAGACTTGAACCTACGAACCTTGGAACAAGGTACGCAGTGCCTTACCATTCTCACCACACTGTGTAGTAAGCATGGTAAGGCACTGCGTACTTTGTTCCAAGGTTGGTAGGTTAGAGTCTCCTTCAGCCAGAGATCAGAGTTTGTATATATATGTGTATATATATATGTCGTGCCGAATAGGCAGAACTTGCGATCTTGGCTTAAATAGCTTCGCTCATCTTGCCATATAGGACAAGCGAAAATTTGTGTATACAATAATTTCGCCAAAATCATTCTTAACCTAACGAAAAAAATATATTTTACTGTGTTTGTTTAATATTAAATTATTTTAAACAAATCTAAAATATGTTTAGTTGGGTTAGGCTAAAATAAATTGTTCTTGTTATTTATAATAAGGTTAGGTAAGTTTTCTAAGATTCTTTTGGTGCAAAATTATAAATTTTTACATCAACATTAATGAAAAAAATATAGCTTTAAACGTATAAGAGAAAATTTCAGAAAGGACTTAATTTTAAATAAGTTCTTGCTAATTGACCAGTTTTACATATTCGGCACGACAATAATATATATATATATATATATATATATATATAATATATATATATATATATATATATATATATATATATATATATATATATATATATTATAATATATTAGACACAATTCTCAGGAAGAAATTGGAAGAGTTAAAGAGAATGAAACAACGAATAGGCAATCTGGACACCCACGATGCTTTGTACCTTCTCACAAAGTGCTTGAGTCTGCCCAGGTTGACATATTTCCTAAGATGTGCACCTTCATATGATAACCCTATACTGCACGAATATGACAGTATTCTGAGGCAGATTTTTACGAAAGTACTTAACCTTACTCTAAAAGACGGGCAGTGAAACCAAGCTACACTCCAGTCAGACTAGGAGGCACTGGTGTCCGCAAGTCATCACAGATTGCGTTACCTGCTTTTCTGTCCTCGTGTATTGCATCCAGAGGGCTTGTAGCAGCGATTCTCCCTGAACATCTTAGGGACAAGATTGGAGTCCAGGACCAAAAATTCATTGACGGAGCAATGATCTGGGATAATCTAACGGGCTCTGAAACCAGACCTGCTCCCCCCAACAACTACAAAAAATCGCACTGGGATGGTCCAGTAGTGGAAAATATAGCTTCAACAATGCTTCAGAGTGTGTCAGGGAAGGATAGAGCCCACCTCCAGGCAGTGAGAGCCCCTCATGCTGGGGACTTTCTGTTGGCTGCTCCCAACTCCAGCCTTGGCACACGCCTCGACACAGACCATCCGCATCGGTGTTGTCCTTCGACTTGCCGCCCCTATTCTCGCCGAACACAAGTGTATTTGTGGTAGTGAAGCAGCAGACCGATTCGGGTACCATGGTCTTGTGTGCCGTAAATCCGAGGGAAAGATTGCAAGACATGAGGAGGTTAATAACATTATCAAGAGGAGCCTCACAACAGCTGGATGCCCAGCAGTAAGGGAGCCACCCCAACTATGCAGATCTGATGGCAGCCAGAAGCGTCCAGATGGTATCACCCTTCAAGCCTGGACATATGGGAAGCAGGTGGTGTGGGACTATACATGTGCATCTACCTTGGCTGATACCTATCTCCAATACACCAGGGAGGAAGGAGGGGCAGCTGCCAGCTTCAGGGAGTCCAAAAAGTCTAGAAAATATGGAGAACTTGCCCATCATTATATGTTTGTTCCCATAGGCTCAGAGACCCTTGGCTCATGGGGAAAGAGTGCATCTAAATTCCTTAAGGAGCTGGGAAAAAGACTCATCAGGGTAACTAGGGACCCCAGGGCAGCGAGTTTTCTGTTCCAGCGGCTCAGTGCGGCTGTTCAAAGGGGTAATGCCTGCTGTATTTTGGGCACACGCCCCAGCTCTGAGGAGCTGGATGAGATTTTCGCCTTATAATCGGTGATACACACGTAACAACATGTACCTTATATGCCACCTTTATATCAACAATGTATCTCTTAAATCTTCTGTACCATATTATGTAATAAAATATTCCTATTGGTAAAAAAAAAATATATGAAAAGATGGGGTGGTAGGGGAAGTGGAATATTCAAACGGCTTCAGGAAGAAATCCAAATATTCTTCCTTAAAGCCTTTTTATCCACTTCGAGGCTATGGGTCCCACAATTTACACCAGAGGTGGACCACATTATATATATATATATATATATATATATATATATATATATATATATATATATATATATATATATATATATATATATATATATATATATAATATATATATATATATATATATATATGTCATGCCGAATAGGTAAAACCGGTCAATTAGCAAGAGCTTATTTAAAATTAAGTCCTTTCTAAAAAAAAAAAAAAATTCTTATACGTTTAAAGAAGAGTTTGTTTTAATCCCTATGATAGGGATTAAAATATTCTTACTGTGCAGTCTTAGTGACTGTAGTGTAGTCGATAGGATTTAAACCCCATTAACCAACGAACCTTCATGGTATTCAATTTTCTTAATTGGAGTGATGAGAAAAATACCTGGAAGAATGATTAAGAAACACAGGTTTCCAAATTTGTAAAAGTTTACCCGAGAACTAGACCGTAATTCTGTTTCTTTGCAGTCAGTACGAAAAAGACAAAGCGCAATAGAATACACTATATTAACATAAAACTTTACATCGAATTTGCATGTTATTTCGTTTTCTTTACAAGGGTCGCAAATTCAGGAGAAAATTTAAGACTCTCATTTAATATGTAAGAAGTAGACCTGTATTAATATTTTTGTGTTGTGTTCTCATAGGACTTCGTTTTCTTTTCAGAAATTCCGGATCTGGAAGAAAGTGGGAAGACAGAGAAATAAATACTACAGAGAAGAAAGTCTTTCAGGAGGAGGAAAATATATTTAGTGGAATCTGGATGCTGCTTTCTCATATATATATATATAATATATATATATATATATATATATATATATATATATATTATATATATATATATATATATATTATATATATATATATATATATATTTTATGAAAAGAAAGTTACCTCGTGGAATGTTAGTGACCTTGAGGAAAGTTAGCTTCCATGCATCGACACCATGCCTAACCCTTCTAGGGTAAGGTAGGCGCCTGAGCCCGAGCCTTTAGCTCATAAGACTGTCATTCCCATTTGCCCCCTTGGGGCGGGGATGGCAGACTAGAGAGGCCTAGCTTGTGGCTAGGCCTGGGGACAGTTGGTCCCAAAGATGAGGAGGTACTTGTGCCTCCTCCCATGGGAGACTTAGGTCTCAGACACTCCCTAAAGAGGGAGCCAAGGCAGGGCCACCACTTGGAAAAGGCCCGGGCCGGGAGAATACCGGCTAATCTTTAACTAACTAACTAACTAACTAGCTTCCATGTGACTAGATAATATCCTTGTGGAAAGATAATAGCTTTGTGGAAAGCTAGAAAGCGTAACTGCACGTGGAAAGACTGCCTAAAAATACTAAAAATATATAAAATTCTAATGTGTAGAAAGACAGTAATCTAGTGGAAAGATGTTAAACTTTATGTGAAAAAAAGAGATGCTAAACTTTGTGGAACTAAACCACAACAAAAGATATTAAAATATGTGGGGAAAAAATGCTAATTCTAGTGTAAAGAGAAAGAGAATAAACCATATGGATACTAAACCGTAGGGAAAGATAATAAACCCTGTAACAAATTACAAAAATCATGTGAAAAGATACTTTACAGTGAGGAAAATATCATGATTAATAAACATTTATTTCGGTACATGTTTTGATAAATATTACAAAAGAGTTGGAATTATTTTCACAGCGACGGAACTCTTCAAGAAGCTCTATATGACTGTTCTAGAGCTCTGCTTAATTATCGCTCTAAACAGAGTTTTATTAACTTGACAAAGCTTTACTTGACATTAATAATAATAATAATAATAATTAAAATAATAATAATAAAAATAAAAATATAATAATAATAATAATAATAATAATAATAATAATAATAATAATAATAATAATAATAATAATAATAATTAAAATAATAATAATAAAAATAAAAAATATAATAATAATAATAATAAAAATAAAAATATAATAATAATAATAATAATTAAAATAATAAAAATAAAAATATAATAATAATAATAATAATAATAATAATTAAAATAATAAAAATAAAAATAAAATATAATAATAATAATAATAATAATAATAATAATAATAATAATAATAATAATAAAATAATAATAATAAAAATAAAAATATAATAAAAATAATAATAATAACCATAATAATAATAATCATAACAATAAAAATATAATAATAGTAATAATAATAATAATATACTAATAATAATAATGCTGATTATGATAACAGACTTCTTTCATATAAACTAAGTAAATAGAGCGATAAAATAAGAGATAATTGTTCAAAGTCTGTACTCTCTGTCCCATTAATTATGGAACTTACTACGTTCATATTATAAAAAATAGCCCCAAAAAAATCGGGTTGAATATAATTAAACGCAGGTTTTTCTAAATATATATAAAAAAATCACTGGTCTGTCATCAATAAACTAAACACACATTGTTTTTTATACGATACAATATTACTGTTATATTTTTGTGACAATAGGCACCAAAATTTTGACAGAATTTTGACGCCATTACGAATGTTACTAAAAGTGTTAGTTTTGCCGTTTTAATTTTAAATGCATCTATATTCTCGAATTCTGTTTTTAATGCTAAAACATAATTTCTTTTATACCTAAACAGTCACTGTGAATAAATATGGTTTTTAAGGACTGTTGAAAACCCAATCTTAGTCTTCGCGTTGTATAAATATACCAGATGAATGAAATCTGAAATGAGAATTTCGTCATAGTGAAATTACTAAATGGTTTGAATTTTTAGTTAATTACTACCTTTTTTTACAATTGCACGTGTAATAAAAAAAAATACGTATGTTAAGAGGCTGTGATATCTTCTACGACTCACAGATGACAATTTCTGACATGGAGAGAGAGGAAAGTAATAATCCATAATCAGTGCAAATTATAATTCAAGAGCAGTGAATATTATTAACTAGCAACAGTGTGAATTAATGAAGATTAATACTTCAAATTATAGGCGAGCAACATTAATAATTAATAACAAGCAGCAGTGAAAATTATAGTCCACCAACAGAACATATTATTTATCCACAAGAGTGAGAATTATAGTTCGACAATAGCGTTAGTTATAGTGAGGCAACAGATCGAATATGTCTAGCAAGAGAGCACATAATTTATAAGCAATAGTGTAAATTATACATCTGCAACGGTGCTAATTATGGAACAGCCATTGTGCAAATTATAGAACAGCAACAGTATGATTTATGGACCAGCAACAGTGCAAATTATCGAACACCAATAGTGCAATTAAGAGACCAGCCACAGTGCAAATTCTAGACCAGCAACAGGGTGATTAATGAACCAGCAACAGTGCGAATGAATTATAGAACAGGAAAAGTGCTAATTATACACTAGAAACAGGACGAATTAATAAAGAGTGAATCGTATGAAAAGGCGTAATGATCGGCTGTTAATATGTACGTTTACTGAGGCAGGAGCGTCAATTTTTGAAAGGTTGAAGACTTCGATGAAGTTGTGCAGCAGAGAACCGAATTCTGAACACAAGTTGGCTGTGACGGAAGTGGGAAACTCAGGACTTGTCTCGACTTTGGCAAGGCAGAGAGTTGCCTCAAATGAGCAAGGTTTGAAATGGAAGGAAGATGCTAAATCCTCCCTTGCTTCGCGTGTCGACGATGCGAATTCTGATCACAACTCTGCTATGACTGGAGACCGCAAACCCGGGAGGATACGAGAGGGTTTCAGAAGAGAGGAAAGTTGGCCCACAGGAGAAAGACCTGAAACGGGAGGTACGTGATGAAGAACTCTGTACGTACACGTCAAACTTGATGCACCTTTCCCGTGCTTCTGAGAGCCCAGCAAGTTCAAAACTTTCTTACCACGATGGAGGAGCGTGTCGAGACGTGGGTATAAATGACCCTAACTTGAGTTTCCCGTTTACTAACTTGGCGAGTCACGGAGAAAACTTGGGCCTCTCCGTGCCGACTGAAGTTAGAATGGACTCAGGGAATGAGAATGACGTATTGACAGTCATCGGAGACTGTGTATCTCATCCAGACGTCATCGTTCCTCGCGTAAATGAAACCTTGCCAAGCTACTCTGAAGATACAATGAAAAGTTCCCGAGATTGGGCCTTGTATTACTGTTCATTGGTGACTAAGGAAAACACTGCAGCTGCTAGGAAAGGAACACAACAGCACCAAGCGACGCTAAATCAGAGCCAGGACATCTTCCCCACACCCGTGACTGAGAGTCGCTGGAGAGTCAACGCCAGGAAAGAAATTGTTCAGTGTTATTGTGGAAATCCTGAGACTGAGAAATATGGAGACCTGAAGGTAGTGCAGGAGCAAAATCCAGAGAGTTTGCTACTTCTTCGGGACTCGTGTAGCGAGACTAGAGAAGACCGGCTCTGTAGAGCCTCCAGCCAGACCACTCACTCAGACCACGATCATTCATGGAGAGCTCCACACCAGACCACTCACATAGACCACAGCTCACTCCAGCGACCTACCAGCAGCCAGCAGAGTAGTGAGCAGCGTTCTACACCCCACTCAGACTACCAGCCCACCAGACATCGTCTGTGTGGTGGGCAGCTTAGGACAGTCCACAGCCCCTCTCAATCTACTTCCGAAAGTCACTCAGTGACCCCGTGGGGCAGATGTAGGGACACGGGGCCATCGTGGGCACTGTGGGTACTGCCTCTGCTCCTACTGCCCACTGTCGTACTGGCAGACACCGGTAAGTAAACTATGAAACTAGAGTCACTGTCCTTTCCAGTCTTCTTTAAAGTTAAAAATCTTCAACAGCCAACGCCATTAGCAGCTGTGGTGTGTAAGTGAACTACTGTGTGTGTAAAATCCTGTGTACATGAGGTAATGTGTACCTGAAGTGTTGTATACATAAAGTTGTGTGTGCGTAAAGTTTTATATATGCGAAGTGCTATAAACATGAATCTTTTGAAAGACGTTCCCTCAAGGGAGGTTCCTTGATGCTGGTGTGGGGCTCTTGATATAAGAAATTGGACCTGTGCTCTTCTTCCTTGGACCAAACCTGAATACCTTACGTTCCCCTAGGCGCTGCGTGGGTTTAGAGCTCCCCCATGAATTTTCTTCTTTTGAAAGACGTGAAAAACACTATTTGCTCTTCTGTTCATGCGAATACACACACACACACACACACACACACACACACATACCACACACACGCACACACACACACACACACACACACACACATACCACACACACGCACACACACACACACACACACACACACACACACACACACACACACACACACACACACACACACGCACACACACACACACACACACACACACACACACACATACACACACACACACACACACGCACACACACAAACACACACACACACACACACACGCACACACACACATACACACACACACACACACACACACACACACACACACACACACACACACACACACACACACACACACACACACAGTTCCTCACAAGAGATTAGTGCAGAAGCTAAAGGATCAGGCGCATATAACAGGAAGGGCACTACAATGGATCAGAGAATACCTGACAGGGAGGCAACAGCGAGTCATGGTACGTAATGATGTATCACAGTGGGCACCTGTGACGAGCGGGGTCCCACAGGGGTCGGTCCTAGGACCAGTGCTATTTTTGGTATATGTGAACGACATGATGGAAGGGTTAGACTCAGAAGTGTCCCTGTTTGCAGATGATGTGAAGTTAATGAGGAGAATTAAATCAGATAAGGATCAGGCAGGACTTCAAAGAGACCTGGACAGACTGGACACCTGGTCCAGCAACTGGCTTCTCGAATTTAACCCCGCCAAATGCGAAGTCATGAAGATAGGGAAAGGGCACAGAAGACCGCAGACGGAGTATAGGCTAGGTGGCCAAAGACTGCAAACCTCGCTCAAGGAGAAAAATCTTGGGGTGAATATAACACCGAGCATGTCTCCGGAAGCACACATCAACCAGATAACTGCTGCAGCATATGGGCGCCTGGCAAACCTGAGAAGAGCGTTCCGATACCTTAGCAAGGTATCGTTCAAGACACAGTACACCATGTACGTCAGGCCCATACTGGAATATGCAGCACCTGTTTGGAACCCGCTCTTGATCAAGCACGTCAAGAAATTAGAGAAAGTGCAAAGGTTTGCGACAAGGTTAGTTCCAGAGCTAAGGGAAATGTCCTATGAAGAAAGGTTGAGGGAAATCGGCCTGACGACACTGGAGGACAGGAGGGTCAGGGGAGACATGATAACGACATATAAAATACTGCGCGGAATAGACAAGGTAGACAAAGACAGGATGTTCCAGGGAGGGGACACAGAAAGAAGAGGTCACAATTGGAAGTTGAAGACTCAGATAAGTCAAAGAGATGTTAGGAAGTATTTCTTCAGTCATAGAGTTGTCAGGCAGTGGAATAGCCTAGAAAGTGACGTAGTGGAGGCGGGAACCATACATAGTTTTAAGACGAGCTTTGATAAAGCTCATGGAGCAGGGAGAGAGAGGACCCAGTAGCAACCAGTGAAGTGGCGGGGCCAGGAGCTAAGACTCGACCCCTGCAACCTGAAATAGGTGAGTACACACACACACACACACACACACACACATACGGGCGCCTGGTAAACCTGAGAATAGCGTTCCAATACCTTAATAAGGAATCGTTCAAGACACTGTACACTGTGTATGTTAGGCCTTTACTGGAGTATGCAGCACCAGTCTGGAACCCACACCTGGTCAAGCACGTCAAGAAGTTAGAGAAAGTACAAAGGTTTGCAACAAGGCTAGTTCCAGAGCTCAGGGGAATTTCGTACGAGGAAAGGTTAAGGGAAATCGGACTGACGACACTGGAGGACAGAAGGGTCGGGGAGACATGATAACGACATACAAGATACTGCGAGGAATAGACAAGGTAGACAGAGACAGGATGCTCCAGAGAGGGGACACAGAAACAAGGGGTCACAATTGGAAGCTGAAAACTCAGACGAGTCACAGGGACGTTAGGAAGTATTTCTTCAGTCATAGAGTCGTCAGGAAGTGGAATAGCCTAGCAAGTGAAGTAGTGGAGGCAGGAACCATACATAGTTTTAAGAAGAGGTATGGCAGAGCTCAAGAAGCAGAGAGGGAGAGGACCTAGCAGCGATCAGTGAAGAGGCGGGGCCAGGAGCTGAGTCTCGACCCCTGCAACCACAATTAGGTGAGTACAATTAGGTGAGTACTCACACACACACACACACACACACACACACACACACACACACACACACACACAAACACACACACACACACACCACACACACACACACACACACACACACACACACACACACACACACACACACACACACACACACACACATCTTTCCATCGGGATATCAGATCCTGAGGAAAGCCGAGGGAACATAGGGGGTGGAGAAAGGAGAACAACATAAATGGCATCTCAGGGCCTACATCTCAAGTGCTTCGTCCAGCTCTCCTGCGGTAGGCCTTGTGCCCAGAATGCTACAGGCATTTCCTCTCTGGGTCGTAACACTGAGTCTCTGAAAGAGGAAAGCTGGCCGCTCTGGAGTCTTTGGTTTCTCTTATGAGGTCTTCACCTAACTCTTATAGAAATTTTAGAGCACACTTTCCCCACGCTCCAAGGGTTTCCGAAGTTATAGCATGGAGCCAGTCCCATGTATTTGTTGATCTGGAATTAGGAGGAGCTACAATGAAATTTCCTGAATGTGGTGCCCTAAACGTTAGGAGACGTGATCTCCACTTTTCTGATGCGTTGTTGTGCATTGTGTTGGCGACTTTTTCCACGATCAGTTTGTCCCAGTGGGACTGTTTATTTCTGTGGGAGGCGCTGGTCTACTTAAAGAGTCTGCAAGGCTGTCCCACTACGTGGTTGCTTCGAGGAACTTGGGTCTTGAGCTCTTACAGCATCTCTCAAGCGTTCGGGAACAATCTCCCCTACTAGTTCACAGGAAGCCACACACGAGACAAACGAAGGTAATGCTACCTGCGCTGCCTTGCGCAACTGTACCTCCCAATCGCAGTGGAACAGTTGCCTGATCCTATTGGTAATCTTCCAGTGACTGATTCAGTACCTTCCTAAAGATAGATCTCATATTCACTGAGTGTTAGGTTGTCGAAGTGCTCAACTGAAAGTTAGTCTTGCAGAGTTAGTGCAGAGACACGTTTTTACATCGAAAATAATATTATGAGTACTATATATTCTCAATATTAATATAATTACCCATATATATACAGAATACTAATGTGCACTAGATCACAGAAAGGTGAATTTCAAAATATGCTAAAATCACCATCGAGATAGAGAATTCCGTCCTTTGTGATCTTACCAATTAAAGAACTAGTGAGTATCCAAAGCGTTGGATTTCTCTATTTTCAGAGTGGTTGTTTGCATATCATAACTTTAATTTAATTATTTTATATTATTAAATATAATATTTATAATAATATAATATATATATATATATATATATATATATATATATATATATATATATATATATATATATATGATATATATACATCTAGAAATACAATTACCTGAGAGTTAGAGTTACCACACTTAGTTTACAGTTCCATCTAAACATTTTAAAAGAGCTCTCACCTACACTCTCCTTGATTAATAAAAATTACTTACTGCATCAACAAATCATTTTTGTCGTAATTAATATCACAAAGAATAGTAGCAAAAAAAATATATATATATACCATTAGCATAGTCGGTAGAACGGCATGCACGTAAATTCTTCCCTCTGCTTCGATTCCCTGTAATACATGAAAAGTGTAACTGTAACAATTTTTTGCTTTTCAATGTTAATATATATAACTGAGATTTCACAATAACGGTACAGTGCACACACTCCAGTACAGTGCACAAAACTCTGGTACAGTGCCCACAACTCTGGTACAGTGCACACAACTCTGGTACAGGGCACACACTCCAGTACAGTGCACAAAACTCTGGTACAGGGCACACAACTCTGGTACAGTGCACACAACTCTGGTACAGGGCACACACTCCAGTACAGTGCACACAACTCTGGTACAGTGCACACACTCCAGTACAGTGCACACAACTCTGGTGCAGGGCACACACTCCAGTACAGTGCACACAACTCTGGTACAGGGCACACACTCCAGTACAGTGCACACAACTCTGGTACAGGGCACACAACTCTGGTACAGTGCACACAACTCTGGTACAAGTGCACACACTCCAGTACAGTGCACACAACTCTGGTACAGTGCACACACTCCAGTACAGTGCACACAACTCTGGTGCAGGGCACACACTCCAGTACAGTGCACACAACTCTGGTACAGGGCACACACTCCAGTACAGTGCACACAACTCTGGTACAGGGCACACACTCCAGTACAGTGCACACTACTCTGGTACAGGGCACACACTCCAGTACAGTGTACTCACCCTAGTACTGGGTAAACAGCCCTGTACAGGGTACACACCCAAATACTTGGCACACAACCTCCGTACTGGGCACACACCCAAATACTTGGCACACAACATCCGTACTGGGCACACAATCTCAGTACTAGGTACACACTCCAGTACTGGGTACACACTCCAGTACTGGGTACACACTCCAGTACTGGGTACACACCCTAGTGTTACCACTCTTCTAGCTTCTCCGTGATTGCTGAAGTTAAATCTTTGTCAGACTTACTGGGTGT